CACTATTTTACAACTTTCCTCTTAACATCAGAGCCCAATGCAATTTCAGGGCCACAAACCCTGCTCTGAATTGTGACTTCCTGTGCTTGAGACGAGCTGCAGATTCTCTTAAGAGTTGCAACTTCTTGGTCACAGAGCCATCCTTACCCTAGAGGCAGAATCGTTGCAGGAAATTTTTTGGCTAGCATGTCAGCAGCCTTCTCTGGTCTGGGTAGATTAGTTGAAAGCGTCATTGACGATGGTGCAGTCTTGGTAAATTCCAGGGCATCTTTCCCCCTCCCTGGAATTCTGTTGCATCATCATATCATCAGGCGCGAGTCAGATTAGCCTTATGTACACGAGGAACGTGTGAGAATGACTGTAAAGTGTTCAAGGCAGCGTGCGTGCTTCAATGCCTGTAAATTTTTCGATAATCAAACGTCACATATCAAATTGTTTCATATTCAACAGTCAATGCTGCCTTGACTTGTGATTATAATAATATAATATTAGTATTATTGATTATGATTACGCAAAACAAAATATTATCAATGAAAATCTTGTAATTACCTAGCAATGATCTGCTCCGCGTTTTGATTCCAATTAAAATATTTATATCAATACAAATAAAAAAAGTACCTCTGGTTAGTTTCTTTAGGAGACCCAAACCAAACCAAACCAAACAACAACGCTCACGTTTTGTCACCTTGGACACTGTCAAAAAATAAATTGTTTTCCCAAAAAAAAAAAAAAATCACAATTCGTGTCTGTCCTACCAAAAAAAAAAACCAATAGGATAAATAATTAGCGTGTGCGCGTCAATTGTATTACAAACTTTTTACTTTTTTTTTTAAAAAATTTTTATTAATGCCACAAAAAAGAAAGAGCATTCAAAGAAATCTCGAAAATAAGTTTGGTGCAGAAAAAGGGTAAGTGTTTTAAGGATGGTGGTGGTTATCGCCCACTGCTTGTAGTCACTCTAGTTATATAAAAAATTATGGTGGTGATTAATATCTTTTCCTTATTTTTAGCAAAGAACTTGATTCATTAAAACAACAAGTAATCGAATCATTATCTCCTTTCCAAGCAGCATGTTACAAACCTATACATGACGGGAAAGATGTCTTAATTAGAGCAAAAGTAATCAAATTTATTTCTTCACTTATAAATGGATAATTTGGTTTTTTATTTATTTTTATTTTGTTTGTTTGCTTTAGACCAGTAGTACTGATGAAATAATGGCACTTGCATTACCAATTATTGAGATTTTACTTTGTTCCACATCTTTGCCAGAAAATAAGTTTTTTAATACAGGAGCCATAATCATGACACCGACGAGAAACTTGGCAAAACAAATTGTATCCGAGTTTGAAACATTAACAATTAATACTAGTTTAAAATGTCTATGTATACACAATTATCATGATGTAAAAAGTTTATGTAATGGATTTGTTGGCATTTTAGTTGGAACACCCGGAAGGATCTTAGATTTTGTCAGTTGTAGTAAATTAAAATTAACCAAGTTGAAAATTATTTGCCTTGTAGAGACTGGAGACATGTTAAATATTGGATTCTCGAAACCATTGGAGACCATAATAAAACATATTGAAAAACAAACTCAAGATCACCAAATGATATTATTTTCACCAAAAATTTCTATTTGGGTAAAATATATTGTCAAAAAATATATGAAAAATCAATACGTAGAAGTTGACTTTTCAAAATCTTTGTCTGGTAATTAAATAATTATCCTTTACCAACATTCCTTTTTTTATTTACTAATAAAATTGACAATTGAAAATAATAATTATATTATTATTTATTTCATCAAAAAAACAGAAAAGAAAATATTAAAATTAATGAAAATTTGAACATAATAGAAGGTCCAACAGAAAAAATATATAAATATAACATATTAGAACAAATCGAAAAAAAAATATTGTTTCCACTTATAGGGTATATATCTTTTTTATGTTAATATTAATATTAATTGTCACAGAGTATGTACTAATCTTTAAATAACTTATATTATATTAGAGCATTTATCACATCAAATAAAAATAATTTGACGTTAGATCAAATTATAGGAAAAATATCCTATACTAACAATTCTGGTAGATTAATCAAAAACATATCACCAGTAATTAATTCTGGCGGCAAATACTTGAGCTGGGAAGATACAATCCCTGATAATATAATGACTGCAGGTTTGTATTGTTTTATAAATTTTTTTTAAAAAAAACCCCCTAGTTTGATCATTTATTAATAGCCAATTAATTTCTTTAAAATAGATGAAATTATTAATTATTTGAAATTTTTGTCAGAGATGTTTCCAAACAATATCCAACTAAAAAAAACAAATTATATTGAATGTGGATACATGGTCTCAATTGATGATACATTTCTGCAGGACATTCATAAATATATTAAGGAAACGAAAAAATTATTAATCGATGGATAATTTCTTTATTATTATTTTAAATTATAATACTAGTTTCAGATTTTTTAAAATATTATTCTGAAATTCGATATATTTTTTTTTAGCTCAAAAATTATGCTGCTTTTTATGGTAAACAATGTATTATTAAAGTTAATGGATTAACACAAGATCACTACAAAAAAATATATTTTTGTAATGGTTTTATTATTATTATTTTAAAAAAGTAAATAATATGCTTCTACAAGATTAAAATTATTTTCTGCTTTTTATAACTTAGTTTTACTACCAAAATGTTTCGACAATAGTGGAATATTGAATTAAATCTTTCTGTTTCTTCATCAGTTTGAATTTGAAGTTGACATTTCTATGAATGCGATTAAAACAGTACTCAGTTGGCAAATTATTCCCTTTTGAATTGCTAAATCCTCTAATGGGAAGATAACCCGTTTTCATACAAGTTTTTACTGCTTTATGCACTATAAAATCGTGAAATGTACAGTGTGTAACGAAAAAAATTGACCTCACAAAAATTAAACTACCCAAGAAATACATGAGATAGTTAAACAAAATTAGATTCATTTAAAAGTCAATCAATTACTTTATTAAATAAAAAAAACTCGATATAAAATACTATTGCCAATTTTTTGTAAGGTCAAATCATGTCTCTTTTTTTTAAATTTTTTTAAATTTTTGTCTCCAAAATTTTAACATGAAACTTTTTAACAATTGCTTTAACACAAAAACACACATAATAATCATATAAAAAATATATATCAATTTGTAGCTTAAGTTCTGAAGATCATTTATATAAAACTATATGTACCCATATTTTCCAGAAATTTGTCAATTAAAAATAAAAGAAATTCAACTAGAAAAATTTCAATGCAAAGTTTTTTAATCATTGCTCTAAAGCCTACATAATAATATGCTTCAAAATTTTTAATGTAATAATTTATGATCTTTTAATTCTTTGACATAATTTTTATTATGCGGCTTTGGATTTTGGTTACTTTCTTAGAAAACAAATTTAGAGGTCAATTTTTTTCGTTACACACTGTATTCTGACTGGATGTTTAATATTCTCAAGGGTAAAATTAGGCCTAAACCAAAATTGCCTAAATGCCTAAACTATGGATTAGTTTTGGCCACCATCATTATGACTAGGTAAGACAGGGGAAACGGTTAAGAAGGCACCCACCTAGAAAGCATTCAGGATTATATACATATCTTTGGAATTTGGTCTAGGGGAACGGCTGGCAGGCACCTAGAGTATTTGTATTGTATTTGTTTAGGAAATCCCGTGAAGTTTTAATTTAGTTTTAGTTTAGTATTGAAAATACATAAGTCGGTTGGGTCTGCTGTATTGAAAATACATTATTGGAATATTAGATTATCTATCTATATATTTTATTGGACACATCGTGAGTTTGTGTAGCTGGAATTTACATGCTCACAATATTGCTCACAATATCAATTATTTTTATATGGGAGGGGGGTTAGTTCTATGTATCACTTAATATTAAGATAACAAAATGGGATATTATAAAACTTTTAATTATAATCACATTACAAATGACTGAATTTTGATCCCTGAAATTGTTAGTAATACAAATGTTCACTTTGTCTGGTTTTGTTGCAGTATGCCCCATTTTAAAAAGATTCATTCAATCTCCGGATGATCATTTTGGTGAATAATTATTATAATGTTTCAGGTATTCCTTTGATCATTAATCATTCATTGATTATTCAGTGAATACATTGTTAACAATTATCTATTGGTCATTTTGCATTCTATCAAACCTATCAATACTTTTTCAAAAAAACAATCTTTTCAAACAAAAGCGGTATTCTTTTTGAGGTCATTGTATTTCCGATAAGTGTATAATATAGTTTAGATCTAGATTCACCATCAAAAGCTTCGGATACGTTAACTCGACAAATAGCTAGGTTTTCTCATCATCTTTTACAATTACAGTTTCCTCCGTCAAGTTCCATATCCAACTTGACTTCTTAGAACCATAACGGAAGGTTCTTCTTCCATTTTAAATGAAATAATTAATTTAATTAATTAGAAATGAACAAAATAAATGAATTTATTTGGATGCGAGCAAATTTCATTTTCGATTCAGCTATACAAGATAGTGATTATCAGTTATTCACGAAAAAAATCTGATTTTCTTTTTAAAAGTGTATAATTACCCGATTTGAATTTTCTAAATAACCATCAGAAAAGTGATGAATAATAATAATTATAACAACAATAATAGTAAATTTATATATATATTTCAAATCGGGATAATAAATCACCAACACCAAATCAGCATAGTTAAAAATCCTTTTATGGATAGATCGTCGTTACACACATTTAATATATAGACATTTCAAAAAAAAAGATCAGCAATTTATATGTAAAATCGAAAAAGTATATACCACTTGGAAAAGTGGCGCTGCACAGACTATATAACTCCACCTCAAAATTTGCACAAATGTTCTGCTATTCCTGTTCTTTCCTGAGCGGAATTGGATTTTTATTTTTATTAATAAAAAGTTGCTCCAAATTTGTCATAACATCCAAATTTGTGATGATCTACATTTTAGCTTAACGCGTAACATAAAAAATAAAACTAATAGATAATTCAGGCATAATAAATAAATAAATAACATTTCTAACTATCATTTATCATTAACAAAATGAATAAAGGTGTAAGCCGAAAAATTTTGGTCCTTGTATAGTATGTGATAATCAAGATATATATTATATAAACTCTATATTATATGGGGCATGCTGCAACAAAACCAGACAAAGTAAACATTGGTATTACCAATGTTTTCAGGGATCAATATGTTTGTATAACATCACAACTGTATTACCAATATAATGTGATCATGATATTTGCCTAGACAAAAATAATTAATATGAAACTAATTTATAGTTTGCAAATTCCAACTGCATTGCAATCTGCAAGTTGCAATTTGTTGCATTATTCATGTAGAAGATTTCCTTCTTGGAAAGACGTGGATTAGTTGGTGCGTTTGACAAATAAATAAATAATATGCCATAGTTATGATTTTTGAAATATATTGAACAAAAAATGTTCTATTCCGAAATTGAAATTTTTTTCATGTCTTTATAATAATTGTTAATTAAATAATTGTTAAGAACTGTTAATTTAAAAAATGTATAATTCTAAATTAATCCAAGTAAAAAAATTAATTTCAAATTCTTATTAATAATATCTTGTTTCCTTATTTTGATATGAATAAAAAGAGTACTATTCTTAAGATTTCGCCTTTTTTTTCAATCATATTATCAAATTTCATCCTTTTTATTGTCATTTTATTAGAGAAAGGTAAATACCTTTTTTTTTGTAGCCCACTCTTCTTCCAAAATCATTGATTCAATAAATTTAATTGCTGATTTTCGTTGTGTAAACTTAGTGCCAATCACTTCTTTCTCATTAAGCCAAAACATGTTCCAATTGTCTTTTAGGTCAGTTAGTACACCAATAGCAGAAATATGATTTGGAGTGATTATATCTGCAATTATCGTCTGCATTACTACTAAGGTTCCTGGTCAAAACTACCCAAACTAGTTTGGACAATTTGGGCTTCTCAGCATTTTTTATAAACATGAACATTAAAAACTATGCCAATCAACTTATTTTAACTTAAACAACTTTAAAGTAATTTCATCCAATTTCAGCTAATAACAAAAAATAGTTTGGGCTTATAAAAAAGTAATTTTTGCCCAAAGTGTTTCAGCAATTTCGGCTACTAATAAAGAGAGTTTCGGCCAGAAACCTTAATTACTACTTGATATACATTGGCTGGTTGCACTTGCTTTTTCTAGTAAATATTTTTAAAAAAATAATGATAGGTAAGAGGCCACAACATTTAGAATAAACTCAATATAAATATACCCTTACCAATTCAATTACACTTCGAATTCCAGTTTGGGGAAAAATTTCAGCTGTATTCTCAAACAAAATAACGTCTGTGCCACCAGATAAATTAAATGGTAAATGAGAATCATTATATATATAATTGAAGAAGCATCTTATTTGTTGCAACGTCAAGGATTGAAATTTGTGGTAATAAGTTGATATGCCTTTTGAGATAAGACATATAATTTTTACGTTGTGTTTCATGACTTTCAGGATGATCACTCCAAACATATTTCTCGATGTCAGCAGTTTCATCTAATGAGTCATTAACAATCCATTTTGACATCAGTTTTGAGAGAAATGCTTGCCAATTGGTTGTATTAAAGGAAGTCAAGGTAATAGTTTCTATTATTTTTTGCAATAACTTTTTCATGGATTTCTTTGGTTTGGTGAACGACCTCATCAGTAAGAAAAGACTGATTATCTGCAAGAAAAAGCGTAAATTATTTAAAACTACAATTTTAGGTACAATATGTTATCAAACTTCAATATATTCGTGTACCTTCTTTATCTATTTTTTCTTTAAGTTTATTATTGTTTTGATACTTTGCTTTCTAGACGTTCTAATTTGTTTTTCCAACTCTAAAGAGAATGTATGTAAAAAAAAATTTTGAATAAATACATTTATAATATTAATCACTATTGAAATAAATACCTCGTTGTCTTTGACTTCTTCGATATTTTCTTTATTATTATGCTGACTTTTCTCCCTATTTTTTTTATATTTATTAACTAGAGTGACGACGAGTGGTGATAACCATCACCACCATTCTTTTGATAAATGACATCTTCCCAGGATTTTTCTGCTTTTCTTTTTTAGGCATTTTTTAAAAAACAGCACAAAAGAATTAAATTAAATTATTTGATCGACAAACGCGTACAAAAAATATCCGCAATCGCCAAATCTATTACTAAATAAGGATAACACGCTATTCTATTATTAATATTAATAGCATATTATTATTTATTATTGAAATCCGAAATTAAAATTGGCTAAACAAATTTGTATGTGTAATAATATTAAATCAGCTAATCAAAAATTTAACAATATTGATTGAAAATTTGAATTCGTTCGTTGTATGATGATGTCTGACCAACAAATGATACTACAACTACAAAAAAACCTGGTCATAAATTAAATAATGATAGATCCAATCGTGTGGTACAGATGACATACATAAACAATAGTTTCTTTCTTTTTTTCCTTTTTAAAGAATTTGCTTTTTTCGGATAAAGTTTATTGAGTCATGGGTCTTTCTTTAAAAATGGTTTATAATCTTCATATAAATTACCCACGTAAAAGGATAATTTTTATCGAACCAATAATGATAACAGATAAACCCACCAACCATATATTAAAAGAACAATAACAGATAAAACTCAATCTATAAAAAGGATTTCATCGATTTTTTTTTAATAGTAAATAATGATAGATCCAATCGTGTGGTACAGATGACATACATAAACAATAGTTTCTTTCTTTTTTTCCTTTTTAAAGAATTTGCTTTTTTCGGATAAAGTTTATTGAGTCATGGGTCTTTCTTTAAAAATGGTTTATAATCTTCATATAAATTACCCACGTAAAAGGCTTGGATTTATTGTAATCAACATCAAGTTAAAATCAACAATAAATTTACTCGGAATCTAATCAGATATTAATATTAATAGTTTTAAAAAATAGAACTCTAAATAAATTTTTTGAGAAAATATCTCTATTACATTAAAACTAAAGACCTATTCTATCAATCAATAGAGTTTTTTTTTTAAAAGGTGAGACAGAAAATGATTTCTACACTTTTAGGAGTCTTTAGACCAAGCCAACTATATATTAATATATAATAATTAATTAGGAAGTAGGAAAAATAATACTTAAAATGTAAATTTATCAATTGGTCAGAGAAGACTTAAAACATAGTTCAGAAGAATATCAAGAAAGTATAGAAAAGTTGCAAGCACAAAATGGCTTAGTGACTGGAAAGGTAAAGTGTCCAGGTCCGCTGTCCCTCTCATTCAATTAGTTTGTCCAAAGTTGCTTTAATCCGAAAGCACATTATTATTAAGTCTAAAAAACATTCTCGGATGAAATTGAAGAGACTTGAGCTGAATGGGAGAGCTTTTACAAGAATGTATTAAGTAAATTAGAAATTTTGTGATTGCTTCCTTTGGGGAAGAAGTCAAGC